CTCGAGGAGCTGGAGCTTTGCCATGACCTGCCCCTTATGTCAAGCAATGGATCTGTACCCAAGTCTGCAGTGTGGTTGTTTGGTGTGATCTCTGTGTGATTAGGAATAAATTCTTAACTTAGGAAGAATTTTTTTCCCTGGGAGGGTGGGGAGGCCCTGGCACAGGTTGCCCAGAGAAGCTGTGGATACCCCATCCCTGGAAGTGTTCAAGGCCAGGTTGGACGGGGCTTGGAGCAACCTGGGATAGTGGAAGGTGTCCCTGGCCATGGCAAGGGGGTGAAGTGAGGTGGGCTTTAAGGTCCCTTCCCACCCAAAGCATTCTGATGTTCTGTGAGCCTGGGTTTGCTGCTGGCAGGGGCGAGGAGGGTTCAGCAGCTCTGCGCAGTCAGTGGGCAGTGCTGCTTGCCCAGGTTGCTGTTGCACAGGGAACTGTCGTTAGCAGCACCCATGGGGGAATATTGCAAAAAGCCATTGCCTGTGTCTTCCCCTGCTCTGGGCAGGAGTCTTTGATGGAGGTGTGGAATGCTGCGCTTTCCCAGCTCTGCTCTTGTGCTGCGGTGGCAGTGCTGGAGAGGTGGGCTTTTGTGGGAAATCGCCTAAGCATGAGCAACTGGACCATCTGTTTTAAAATACTGCTTAATATGGGCAGATTTACTGCAAACCTTCTGTTTTCTGGGGACAAAACGGTCTGTCTGGGGACACTCTTAAAGTTTGTTACGTTTTACTCCACATGGTGCCTTGGTCCGCTCCTTTCCTTCCAGCTGCTGGTGCTGGTCCCCTTGCTGGTGTGTTGAGCTGTGCCACCCCAAAGGTTGGTTTATAAGATGTTGGATCCTGACATGATGGGATTGCTCTCTACTCAAAGCAGCACAGTCTAAAGTTTGATCTAAAAGATCAATTTTATCTATGATTTTAGAGTAAATATTGAAGCATAAAAGGATATTCTTAGTAGTAATGCTCTCCTTTGATTTTGAGTGAATGCCTGAGAACTGGTCTCTTTTGCTAAAGAGTTTCAGAGAAACTTCTGTGAAAAAGTACAAAGAAAGCTATGCCTTTTTTTTAGCTTAATTCTTTGTTTTTTATAAATATTGGTACTGAGAATTTGCTTTTTCTTCCAGCTAACCAACTATTCCTGCTCCTGAGGAAGCCCCCATTTCTCACAGTGCTAGTGCACCAAGAGCTTAATTTAAACTTCTGAAAAGGTCACCAATTGTTGAGGTGGCTTTGTGCCTTCTGCTTTGGCTGTGACAGGACAGCAGCACTGTGTCACTGTACAGAGGCACTGCCCGTGGCTGGAGTGATGGAGCCCAGGGCATTGCTGCCTCCTGAACTGCCACCAACACCAGCTGCTGCCATTGGGGTTTGACTTGCACTTGTTAAAACTTCTGTGGAGTGAAGACCAGGTGCTTTTCCGTGGTGGTGAGGGTGAAGGTACCCGTGCTCAGCTTACAGGTGAATACCTCAAATCTCGAGCATGGGTGGTATGGGCACCACATACTTTTGTGGGTCCCTTCTTGTCCTGCCCCTTTGTAAGGGATGACAGCGTGTGAAGAGGTCAGAGACCTTGTTCCCAGAGGTGGTGTGAGGGTCTCTCATGCTGTGTGTGTGGCCCCTGGGACTTGGAGAACTCAGGAGGGTTCATCTCTAGTTTCTGTCATTGCCTCAGATGTCTAGTCAAACCCCTGCTGCAGTAAGGTAGGAACTATATTATGAACCAAGGCTCTGCATGGATTTTTTGTAGGGTTTTTTTTTAGTTTGTTTGGTTGTTTGTTTTTTTTTTGTTTGGTTGGTTGGTTTTGGTGGTTTTTTTGGGGGGGGAGGGTTTGGTTTTGTTTTGTGGGTTTTTTTTGATTTTGTTTTGTTTTGTTTTTTAAATCTGAATTGTAGAAATCTTGTGAGACTGCATTTCTTTCAATTTACATAAAGATTTTTTTGTTTGTACTCAATGTGCTTGTTTGTTACGACAGTTTTAATATCTGGAGAGATAAATGATAATGTTTTTTAAACATTTGGTATCTGTGGGTTTTATCTCAGTATGTTTTGTGACTGCTGTTCAGAGACACTTCTTCTGAGGTATGGTATATAGAAAATCGTTTGTTGGCCATAACTTTTCACAGACTGATGCTTTTCTGTTTTGGAAAAGCTAAGAAAGATCTGTGCTTCAGTGTTCAAACACAGAGCGAGCCTGCATGTCAGAATTACTCCCCTAGGAGAGGGTTGGAAAGCACCTCTTTATTCTGAACTAAAAGAAAGCTATTAAGGGTATACAGATATCTAGGAAACTTGATGTTTGAAGCGGAATTTCAAACCTCTTTTGCAGGCTAGAGCTGTGTGGCAGGATTAGAGTTGGATTTATAGACCTTTCTGGTGAATATATGAGAGGACAGTGACTGAGATGTGAAAAGAGGTGGAAGGGAAGTGTCTACCCCAGGGAGCTGTGGCCTGGAGGCACATGGGTGAGGGAGCTGTGTTAATGGCTCTGCAGGTGAGACTGAATTAGAGATGGGTCTTGCTGGGAACAGCTGGCACCCAATGGTTCATATGAACTATGGCAGCCTAAGAAGATTGATTAATATTTATAAGGACAATGGTTTGCTTTTGTGTCAGTCTTTTTGCCAATTCCCAGTTGTCTGGCATGTTAAGAAGACTGTAGATGCTTCTGGAGGAGATGAGTTACTTCCCCAGCAGTGCTTTCCAGCTGAAGCTGGGATCTTCTGTCAGGCGTAGACAGTCCGTGTGTGTTGGAGGGGTTGAAGTCTTCTACAAAACAAAAAATTTTGAATAAATGATATTTCGGGGGGGGGAAAAGGAAGTAAAAAGGCTTTGTCATCAGAAGGTTTTGCTTTTCCAGAGCTTGGCAGCTGGGTCTAATGGTAGGTAGCCCCTGGAGCAAACCAGAAATGAATGGGATCTTAGGGAAGGGTTTTTGTTGTTTTCCCATTGCAGGAGTGAAGGGGCTCTCAGGTGGCTGCAAGCTGAGCACCAATAACCAGTGAATCCTTTCTGACCAGCTCAGTTCACTGTATTGGCTATTTGAAAATTTAAGAAAACCTGGGAACTGCTTTGCTGGCGGCCGGGCTGCTGCTGAGAGGCTTCCAGAGAGCAGGGGACAAAAATCCCTCCAGCATCACTGTGACTTTCTGACCTTGGCAATCCGTGAAAATTTGTTTCCAGCTCCGGAATCCTTAGTGCAGTTTGTTCCACAAGCAGTGGTGTGCTGGTGGTTTGTCACCTGCTGTGCTGTGAGCTCCCTGCACAGCGTGCCCAGAGGTTCATGGCTGGTAAGGCTGTAAAGTGCTTCCATTAAAATAATTTTGATTCCTATGCCTGGAGGCAGAAATGCAGGTAGCTCAGACACAGGAGACTAAAAGGCATTAAAAAACCCCTCTAAACCAACACTTTAGCACTTCTGCCACAGCGGAGCTGCCACTGGAGCACCATAGTTTGCCTTAAAAATGTAGAACATACACCAGAGCAGCTGAAAATACGGGGTTGTGCCCACGATGCTTTTGAGGCTGGGGAGCTCCCGAAGTGTTCCCTAGTGGAGATCTTCATCCCCAAGAGTTGTGATAGAAATGAAATATGTTTCTGTAGGAACAGCTGCTGTTGTGCATCTGAGCGTAGGTCATCCTGGTTTGAACACCCCAAGTTGTTAGTTGCCTGAGTTTTATTCCAGGGAAGGTTTCACTAAGGGAGAAGAGCAAGTGCCTGCTCACACACTGTGGGGTTGTTGGCCTGGTTCCTTTGCTGCTTTGGAAATCTGGGTAAAACATGGAACATTTGGCTGTTCCCTGCAGTTGGTCATTGAATCATAGAAAAGTACAGGTTGGAAGGGACCTTCTCATTCCATCCCCTGCCGAGGGCAGGGACACCTTCCACTAGCCCAGGTTGCTCCAAGCCCCATCCAGCCTGGCCTTGGACACTTCCAGGGATGGGGCAGCCACAGCTTCTCTGGCCAGCCTGTGCCAGGGCCTCTCCACCCTCATCGCTAAACATTTCTTCTTCGTGTCCAGGCTTATCCTGCCCTCTGATAGTTTAAAACCCTTGAAGGTAAAGATGAAATATTCTTGGCAGGAAGTTTAAGCTAATAGGTGAGGTGCTGGGAGAGTGAGCAGCTGGGAGGGGGCCTAGTTCAGCCTGTTGGGTGGGATTGGGGGAGCCTGTGATGAGCTGTGGGGCTTGGATCTGGCACCTTCCTGCTGGCAGAGCCATGGCGGGAGAGCTGCTGAAAGGGGCTGGAGGCTTTTTTCCCCTGTAGACTTTAACCAGGTGAATTAAGAAGTGAGCGACTAGCAAAGCACTCAAGAAGATTCTTTGACAGAACAAACCCCATTTGCTCCTGGCAAAAGTGATTTACAGCAAAGACAGATTTCGATGTTGGGTATTTTCCATTAAAAATACTGTTGACTGATACATAGTGACAGTGTGTTTGCTTCAATTACCTCAGAGTGTATTTTAATTGTAGTTTTCTCTTTATCCACTTGTTAAACTGCTGGGAGTATATTTGCTGACTTTGTGCATGTTCTATGCAAATGTCACATGTATTTTGAAGGAAAGGATGACAGGAGCATGAATGCCTTTGTGTAGTCTTTTACCCATTTAACAGCTTTTTGTTTCAAAGGCAATTTCCGTAGGTCATGTTTATTAGCTATTAATGAGAATGACAGGAGCTACTGGGTTTTAATGAATTTATTTTTTCAAGTTGTCAGTCAGTGCTCGGTAACTGTTGGTGGAGAAACTGGTAGTGCTTGCAGTGGTCAGGGAGAGTCTGGCTGGACTTGGCATAGGCTGACACGAAACTGTTGTGCTCTCCCATTAAGGGGTGGTTTCGGCTGTGCATCCACTTTTTTTTTGTTCCAGAACATCTTTAATCTGAAGGTGTTTTTTCTTTTCTGAGAAGGAAAAGGCAGTTGCTGTTCTCCATACTGGAGGATCAAAGGTGTTTAGTGGAGAGGGATGCTCTGCAGATCCTCTGCTTGTTGTAAATGAAAGAAATGTAGCACAGGTGTCTGAATTTGTCTTGTAAGCCATTGAGAAGTGTCAGGATTTCATCCCCAGCTCTCTACAGCTCCTTCAAGGGAAAACAGCAGCAAGTTTCTCAGTTCAGGTTGGCAGCTTTGCCTTAGTGAATAATTGGGCAAAACTGCTGTCAACTGAGACATGAGGTGCGTTCATGTTCTGTTAACCTGGATTTGGGAGAACCAGACACGAACTGATTGGTGTATTAAGAAACTGTGAAATGAGGGGGAAAATTTGCAATGCAGCCGACTTCCTGCTGTCCTGAAGAGAACAGCGTTTGGCTCACAGCTTCTGCCGTGTGCTGGGATGCATCTCCGAAGGCAGCGGGACATGGCGCCAAACCTCCTGTGGCTGAGGTCCCTGTCCCGTGCCGAGCACATCCCTGTCCCGTGGCATTTCTTGCCCAGGCACCAGCCCAAGCTGTTCTCCGTTTCCAAGCTGGGCTCCTGCCTGCGCCCAGCTCTGCCCTCTGTGGGGACAGAGTGGTTCCCAGGGGTACTTCTTTCCCGTTTTTTCTTTGCTGGCAAGTCTGTATGGTGAAAATGAAAGGGTCAGTGTCTTTTCGGTATTTTTTTGCTGTTTCTGTCAGGGTTGCAAATGTCCAGACTGAAGTGCATTTCCCAGACTTTGATGTGAAGATCCCCTCCCAATGTAATTTCATGTCTCCTCCTAAAAATTTATGTAGCTTTAGAGGAACGCCATGAACACTGAACAAGTGCATTTTCACAGGGTGATTGTTTTAGTGCTTTGGCTACTTTAAAAATAAAGAATACTGTGAATGTGTGCAGTGACACTTTTTGGAGTGACATCCATTGTATTTCCATGGCAGCAAGAGCTGGGCTTTTATTAGGCTTCCCTTCAGCTCCTTTCTTGTGTTTTGTTTTGATAATGAATCAACTTTGTGTCACTTTTTGTGCTCTCGTGCACCCACTTGCTAATCTTTCTGACCTGGTATTTACCTAACCATGGGGTGGGTACAAAGTGCCCTTCACGGGACATGTAAGACCTAAACATGGAATAAAACATTGTGTAAAGGCAACAAAAGTGAGCATGGAATACAGCTTACAGCTGTCCTGTGCTTGGCAGGTCATGTTTAGGAGGCTCAGTGTGTGTTATTCACAGAATCACAGAATATGCTGAATTGGAAGGGACCCACAAGGATCCAGTTCCTGTCCCTGCACAGGCCCATCCCCAAGAGTCACCCCCTGTGCCCCAGAGGATCAGCCAAACCCTCCTGGAGCTCTGGCAGCCTTGGGGCTGTGCCCACTGCCCTGGGGAGCCTGGGCAGTGCCCAAGCAGCCTCTGGGGGAAGAACCTTTGGCTGAGATCCAACCTGAGCCTGCCCTGACACAGCTCCAGCCATTCCCTGGTGCTGTTCCTGGTCCCCCCAGAGCAGAGCTCAGTCCCTGCCCCTCCTCTGCCCCTGCCCAGGAAGGTGGAACTGCAGTGAGGTCTCCCCTCAGTCTCCTCTTCTCCAGCTGAACACACCAAGTGCCCTCAGTGTCCTCCCACGCCTTCAAATCAAGGCCCTTCCCCATCCTCCTTCCCTCCTTTGGGCACTCTCTAATGGCTCAATCCCTTCCTTCCATTGTGTCCCCCCAAACTGCCCCAGTACTGCAGGCGAGGCCACACCAGTGCAGAGCAGAGCATTTGGAATAAGAGGAGGGTAGCTAGCCTGCTCCAAGGAAAATGGAGCAGGAGACAGGAGAAGGCCCTGGCACAGAAGCAGTGAGCAGGTTGGTCAGGTGTGTTTTCCTGAGGGCTCCTTTGAGCGGTGCTCTGGCTGCAGGTGGGGCCCCGCTCTGAGCTCCCAGAGCAGGGCAGGATTCACATCTCTGCCCCATTTGCTGACAAGAAACCAGAACTTGGATTTAATCATTTCAGTGGTGATTCTCATAGCACGTATAAATGAAGGCAGTTACAGCTTTAATAGAGTAGTGCTAGAAGATATTCCTTAGGCATATTTTCTTTGGTAGTGTCTATCAGAACAGATCTTTCAGGATACCAACCCTGGCTTTTTTATATCAATAATTTTTTCTTACACTGTGAATCTTAACATATAGGACACCAGATAGTAAGGTGCACATGATTTTCTTTGTTTTGTAACCAATATGTAAAGCTAAAAAAAGTCTGCTTTATGCTTTTAATTGCTGTTTAAATTACTGTCTTACAGTTTTCTCATTGAACAAATTTGGCCAAAATAAGAACTGGAAGCAGTCCAATTATCTTGGAGGAATAAAGAGGATTTTTATGAGGAAGTAAAAAGAAAATAAAATAGAATCAAGAACAACTCAAAGGGGAGTCTTACCTAATGAGCATTAAACAGTGTTAAAACTGACATGAGTCCAATGTCCTTTCAATTTTAGGCAGGTATTTAATACTTCAGGGGTAAGTTGTTTGCTTTAACAGCAAAATTGAGACATAGTGAAGTTTCAAAGTGGGCATTTGAATATGTGGAACATTTTAATAGAAGAATATTTGAACATGTGGAGCAGTTGCATGGCATTCTTCTCTGTGTCTGCTGGTGTAAGATTTGATACTCAGTAGGTTAAAGTAGCAAGAGGGTTAAAAAACAACCAACCCACAGGAAAGTGGTTCTTTGTGCACTGGGTAGCTGAGCTGTGGAAGCTGTGGTGCACAGGGGTGTGCGTGTTAAAAATGGAGAAGTGATGAAGAAGGGCACAGACCTGTTCCATGTGCAGGGAGCACCTCTGGGTGAGGGGGTTGGGAGTGTGTGGCCAGAAGGGTGCTCAGGAGAGGGGGGGGATGCTCTTTCCATGATGGTGTACAGCGCCCTAAACCCTCCTGTAGGCTGTGGGAGACTCAGCAGTGAGGTGGGACGTTTGTTCTGGCAGGGTATGACCAAGTGAGGAGAGCACTCCACGTCCCATGGCATTCGGGGGAGGAAGGGACAGCCATACCCCCAGAGTTGGGTATGTGCCACCCACCCCTGGCATCGAGCCCAATGACAGGGCACACCCCAAATGTGTTCCCACCTTAAGGTGAGGAGTGTGATTAAATCTGGATGGGGATGAGTGTGTGCCTGTCCGGCACCTGTGAGCTGGGGTGCTGTTGATGGATGGAGGTGAGTCCCTCAATGACTACTGGATCTTCTAGGCAGCTCCTAATGGCTGTGAAAGGATGGCACTGGAAACTGGGAGTGCTGTATGACATACTAAACTCTGCTTTCTGGTAGCAAACATAAACTTTTGCTCAGTTCTTAAATGATTTTAAAATTTTTAACCTAAACACAAAGTAATGAAGTCTGTGACTTTAGTTCAGTAGGGAACTTCAGTGCAATTGTTGTATTCCTCACTGAGATTAAATTTACTCTTTATTGTCATTCATTCATGGATTGGGATCTTTTAGTTAAATAGTTTCTTTCTCTTAATCTTCAAAGATGTCAACAGTAACTAGGACTGTATATTTTTTAGAAAAAATGGCTTTTTTCAATATGACATGTCTTGTTTGTGGATGTGACAGGGCCTGAAGCTGACCAGTCCCCACTGGATGACTCAGGGCAAAGGGACCACCTGAAAGGCAGAAACAGTTCATTGCAGATGTGTCTCATGGTTTCTCAAGCAGCATCAGAATAAAGCTGATGTGATTCTTACCAGCTTTTGTTCACAAATTAGAAATTTGAATTATTTGCTGTGATTTATACCTCTTCTTGTTCAGACTGTTTCCTTGTCCAAAAGCCTTGGAAGCAAACAGTTTCAGTAGAGGGAGGATGCCCAGAAGTGGCTGTGACTTGCACAGGTAAATGTTACTTCTGACAGGCACTGGCTGCTTCTTGTGAGATGTTCAAAAGAAAGGAATAAAAATTAGAATGGATTGGCATTTCCAGACAGATTTTATACTCCTCCTCCTCCCAGGCAGTTTGAACCTCCATGAAGTCATTCACACACGTGGGACTTGTAGGTAAATACAAATTCAAAAACAGCGTGTGGCCATGGCTTGCACCACTGCTGGCCCACTGGAGATTCATAAAATTTTGCTCTGCTAGTTTTGCTCTGCTAGAGAGGGAAGCCACAGAAATTACCAGCTGGAGCTGTAACTCCAGAACCATTTTGTTTCTTCAGGGTTGCTGAACCCTTGCACCTCTGAGCAGTTGGGGTTATGGAGGAAGGTGCTGAGTGACTTGCTGGTTTCGGTGAGCTACTCAGGGTGTGTTCCAAAATCTTGCAGAGACAGCTGGTGTGGTGGTTACAGCCTTCTGCCTGGGTTCAATGCTCTGGTTCCAGGCGATGGAAAAATGGCAGCACTGCTGGAGGAGACAGCGGTGCCTTTCACATCCCTCCTGTGCTCACTCTTGTAAAGCAGCTGTCAGGAGGGTGCTCAGGGTAGCAGTCTGGGTTAAAACTAACCAGGGGAAAAGGGTAGGGTTGAGCATCTGTGGGAAGGCAGGGCTGCTGGTTGTGGGGTACCCCGGGTGTGAAGGGACTAGAGATCCTGCTGTGCTTGTCTCTGTGATGGCAGGTCTCCCTTTAATGTTACATTACAGTGAGACTCCAGTCCTCAAGTCAGGGCCTGCAAATAGTGATGCAGGATAAATATGTATTAAAAAGCACTTTTTTCAGTATAAAAAGTGTAGCAATAAAAAGGCAACGTGTTGTTGTTGGAGTTCCTGTACTGAGGAAGGAATGGTTTTGTGTGTCCTTTGGGCGAGCAGAATGCTTGGAGCTGGGTGGTGGAAGGAGACCAGAGCTCTCCACAGAAGTTTCACCTCCTGACTGTGATCCATGTGCTGGAGCCAAGCTCTGCAGAGGCTTGGGTTTGTCCTGGCTGGGAACACTGGGATTTTACTTATCTGGAACCACAAAGAAAAGGAAAACCACAAAACCCTCAGCTTCCTGCTCTGCAGGTAACACGATTGCAGCTGCTTATTTCTCTATACTCTCACTTTTTGCACCATGTTTGCTTGCATTAGGAATGGCTGTATTAGGATCTTTAGGTATAATTTTTTTATGTCGTCTTAGATCCATTCTTCCTGCACTGACAGGATACAAATTTTTTGTTTAGAGTTGCAACAGCTGATGTACCAAAGCCACAATCTGTTGTTCATTGCTGCAGATCCCTTGGCTGTTGGTTTGGAGTCAGTGTGTCCATCTGTCCATTTCTTTCAGGAAGAAATGTAGATGTTGTAACACTTCAATCTGTATTATCTTTGCTAACAAGAACCTGAAGATTTCTGCCATGTGGGTAAATATCCACGGCAATGATGAGGTCAGTCAGCTGTTGGCTGTTGGAGGCAGTTTCAGCACTCTGACAAGCTCCTGACAGCAGCAGTGCTGTGCCCAAGTCCCTGGTTGACTCCACCCTTCAGCTGGTGTGGTACCTGCTGCTGTCAGTCTTTCCAGCACAGCAGCAGAGCAGTGGCTCATTCCTGGCATTCCAGGTGTTTTGTCAGTTGAATGACAATGTTGGGCAAGAGTGCCATCACCATGTGTCTTTCTGAAGAGGGTTTGATGCTGCCAGGCTATTAAAACTGCAAATTCTGTTGGAAACACCAGTCATTACACAATGCCTGGCATGTCTTGGTGTTGGGAATCATGAGCTCCTTCTGATGCTCATCCTGCTACAGCATATTGCTAATCCATATTGAATGCTTCAGAAGACACTGCAAAGGCAGAATTTTTATGAGTGCACAAGCCTTTTTTTTTTTTGTAAAAAAATCATCAGTCCAAAAGCTGGTATTCACAGAGCCGTGGTGTGATGTTCAGCAAAGCCTCTGAGTGCTCATTAAATGTGTTATTTTGGTGCTGAGAAATAACTGGACTTAGAGATGCCTTTGGCTGTTTCTGCTGGATTTCAGCATAAGAGGAGGTTTGAACAAAGCAATGGAAATAAACCAAAATTGATTTAAATTTTTTTGGATTTTTTTGCTTTTTTTATTCCTTGTGGTGTGAATTTTTCTTTAGTTTTCCTTCTCCAATTCCTTGGAAAGCAGAGTAATTCCAGTGCTGGGAGACAAGCTGTGATGTGGCAGCAGGGCACTTGTGGCCATGGTGGAGGCATGTGGGGCAACCCTCGGTGCTGGGTCACATCTGTCCGTTGTGGCATCAAGGATCTGCTGTCCTGCAGACAGGGAGGGAGCGTGTGTGGATCCGATGGGAGCGCCCTGACCCGGCCATGGGCAGGTCTGTGCTTCTGCTGTGCTGGACAGGGTCCTGCAGGCTCAACAAACTCAGGTTGTGACTCAAGTGCAAGTGCCAGGGCAGGTCCCATGTGACGGGGGAGAGGGTGGGTGGTGACAGGGCACTGGGCGTGGGGGGCAGGTCCTGTCTCTTCTGGCAGCCTGCACCTGTAGCTGAGCTGCTGGGTTGGGTTTGTGTTGCCGGACCTGCCTTCGAGCCCCAGGGCTCCAGCCACGTGCTGGGTTGAGTTGTGTGAGCTCCTGCTGGCCCAGCGTGATGGGGTCTGGAGCTCACAAGGAGACCAGAGAATAGGATATGGTCAGGGAAGTGAAACCCAGCAACAGTTATTAAATACAGGGATACCAGGGCTGGTAGAGGAGTGGTTAGAGGATGAAAGAATATCTGAAGGAAGGATGTTGTGGGGTTGGTTATCGCTCTCTTCACTGGTGTCTTCTCGGTGCTGTGGGTGAGTGCAAGACTGCTAGAAGGACCACTGCAGCTGTTCTTACACTCTTTGTTTTTGGATCTAGCCCTTACTTCTGGAATTAGAAAATCTTTTTTTGAAATCTATATTGGAGTAGTACAAAAATACATCCTTGCCTTTCTAGAGATAACGCTTTTGAAGCTTAGCATAAAATTGCTTTGGATTTAGTGTCTAGAAGTTCTCCGAAGGAGTTAAAAAAGTACAGTACTTTCAAAGACAACTAAAAGGTTTATATGCACTGTAGACTTTGATTTCTGTGATTTTTTGTGTTTTGATTTCTTGCTTAGCAACTGTACACACCTCCTTATAATTCAGTAGAACTAAGCAAAAATGCTTGTTGGGACCACACGTTTCTAGGTGTTCTTAAGATCCAAATCAAAATCTTTCCCAGTGTAACAGTGCAGAAAGAACCTTGCAGCTGAGAGGAGGTTTTTAGAAGAGCTTAACTCCTCTCTGGGTCGGTGAAGGCAGTGATCACATGTTTGGGAGAACAGCACACTTGGGTGCTCACAAACAAGAAACCAGCTTATGTGAAGCAGATCCTAACTTGAAAAATTGGTTTGGTGTATGTTTAACTACACATAGATGTCAGGTTGGTAGTATTTGGGAAAAAAACCATATAGTGCAAAGTTTTGGATCCAGCCATGGAGATCTGCTGTGCTTGCATTGTGCAGAGGATTATGTCTTGTGGGAAGAGTGGTTGTGTGAAAAGCAGCCCAGTGCTGGGGTCAGTGTCACCCCTGCCCAGAGGAGTCTGGGGCCTGTTAAAAGCTTGCTCAAGTACAAGTCTCCTCACTGTAGCACAAGTTGATTCCAAAATTGGACACTGTGCAGCTTGGACATTGTCACACACACTTTCTCTGCTTAACCTTTCTAGTTATTCCCCTCACTCTGAAGGGTTTCTGAGATGTTCCCCTCTGCCTTCCCCTGCCCAATTTGACTGGTTGTTGCTTTTAAATAATTTGATCCTTTTTCCTAAATATGCATGTGTGCTGCATGTGGCCTAACAGTAAAATGAGGTGGCAACATTGGGGTGGTGGCACCTGTGTGTGCTCCATGCACTGCTCTTGTGGCTTCAAGGTGGAGCAAGGAGGGAGCAGTGCAGTGGTGTCATCCTGACGTGATCCTGAGGCTGAGTCCTGGCTGGGCATGTGGTGCTGGTGTTGCCTTGTTGGCTTGTCCTGTGCAGGTGGATGTGGCACCTGGGGATGTGGGTTAGTGGTGCACTGGGCAGTGCTGGGGGAAGGATTGGACTCCATGATCTTGGAGGTCCTTTTCAACCTAAATAATTCTGTAATTCTCTGATTTTGGGTTTCCTGGGCCTCTGCTCGTGGGCAAGGTTCCGTCCTGTCCTGCCTGCAGTGCTGTCTGAGCTCCATCCAAGCAGCTGACCTGTCTTTGCCCTCCAGTGGCACTTTGGTACCTGCACAGGTCACACAGAGGCTGCAAGGGCTTGTTTTAAGGGGAGATGGGAACGTGGGAGTACACCTGGACCAAGCTCTTTCAAGAATGGTGTTACCTAACTGATCCTGTGCCCAAACCACTCACAGAAAAGCCACACTTTATGGGCAGTGTCCTCCACGTAGGGGATAGCAGGCTCCAAAAATGCCCACTGGATTTAACAAACTTAATGGAGGGAGACAAAAATGAAACTTCCCATGCCATGGGGATGTGGGGCAAAATGTTCTGCAGTGATGGGAAGCAGCAGCAGGACAGGGAAGGTACTGGGAGGAGGAAGACAGGGACAGAGAGTGAAGTCCCTTTCACATCTTGTTTCTTCCTGAGGGGCAGCAAATGACAACCTGGTGAGCCAAGGGCTGGACACCTGCCCTGTGATGTGTGCAAGAGGAGGAGTCAGATGCTCCCCACATTTCTGTTGGCATTTTGAGGAACATTTTGCTTAAATGAGTCCAGGTTTGCTCTGCTAATCCCACCTGAGACATCAGTGAGTCCCTGCCCTGTGGACCTCTTTTCTGTGCACTTGGGAAATCCCAAACTGCTGTGTCAGGAGATGCCTCCTGGCTTGGTGGCCAAGGACTTTCCTTGACCTTCCCTACGGACATCTGGACAGCAATTCCTAACTCCCAGTGCTGTTTCTTGCTTTCAGGAGGGTTTACTTGTAGCCTCTTTTGTCTTCAGAATTAAAGAACTTGATATGCTACTGCTGAGGTGAAGAGAATTGGTTTCTTCCTCCAAAGTAATTGTGTCTCAAAATGGAAAAAGCCACCCCTCAGGTTCTCTGGTTCCTGTTCTTCCCAATCCATGAAGCTGTGTCAGGGGAGGCTCAGGTTGGATCTCAGGAAAAGGTTCTTCCCCCAGAGGCTGGTTGGGCACTGCCCAGGCTCCCCAGGGCAGTGGGCACAGCCCCAAGGCTGCCAGAGCTCCAGGAGGGTTTGGACAACGCTCTCAGGGACAGGGTGGGATTGTTGGGGTGTCTGTGCAGGGCCAGGGGTTGGATTTGATGGTCCTGATGGGTCCCTTCCAACTCAGGATATTCTATGATTCTGTGACTGTAGGACTCCTGGTGACTGGATAAAAGGTGTCTATGAGAGCTGGTGGGATACAGGCTGTGATTGATATTGCCACACATCTGGCCTAAGGTATCTAGAGGGATGATGGAAACATGCTTGTGGCTTTATCCAAAGAAACTAAATCCTTTCCATTGACCTTAACCAAAGGCCTCACAGGCAGACTTTTTTCCTTGCTTTTAGACCAAGTACAGGCTCCTAAAAATTAAAAAGTAAAAAAATAAAATCAACCAACCCCCTCCCCAGCCCTCTTCCCTACATTATATTTTATAATTGTTGCTGTGCTGTTTCATAATGAAAAAGTACCTGGCACGGCCCTTTGCATAATTTATTATTGTTGTCCATCAGGAGGGGCTCCAGGTGCCTTGCAATAAATTTCCCAGGGCAGTGTCACCCTTTCTTTCTGGCAGCTGCTCTATGACAGGCTCCACAGGGTTATGCCATGGCTGCCTCAGACACAGGTCTGAGGAATATTTTGTGAGTGAAGTGCTGCTGTGAGAGCAGATACAGTCCCCTCCTGCCTGGACAGCCAGACCTCCAGGTTCTCTCCAGGAGTGTTTCACTGGTCTTGGCTTTGGGCTGTGACTGGGAGTGAGGTGTTAAATCCTGCTCTCCAGCTAGAAATGAGCTGAACCCCAGTTTTGGGTGGAAGCTGCTATCTGACCTGAGTGCTGTGCTCCCCTCTGGGCAGGGAACTGCCCCCACAGCCTGGCACAAGCATGGCTCTGCCCTGTGTGCATGGGCTGGGACATCCCCAGGCAGCCTTTGCCCAGGTGTAGATTGAAGCTCTTTTACCACCGTTGATGTGCTCCCAAGACTTGGGTAGTTTTAATGCTATTCATACAAATAGTGATTCTGTGCAGGGTGGCATCAGGGATAATAAATATTGAAGGTTAATTGTGGATTTTGGAGGGCATAGAGACTTCGTTCTCAGGTTTTGCTGCTGGGAGTTTCCGGTCTGAGGGAACTAATCTTAATCAGACTGCAATTTCTTGCACTCTAAGCCTAACCTACTTTAGCCAGGCATCATGGTGTTGGTATTTATAGATCTGCTGCAAGTGCTGTTTGATGTAGCACTAATCCTGCATTCCAAATTGCAGAGGTGTGTTTGCTGGTGCAGCTGTGAGCCACCACTTGGCCCTACATCACCCAGATGTCTGCTAAAATCTTGTCTAGTACAAATATTTTGCTGTAGAGTGGTTTCCTGAAGGCAATGGCCAGTAACCCTTCCAGAGTCCTGGCTGCTCTGGGCTTGGGTGTTTGTACTCCCTAAGTGGAAGCACACTTGGGGCTGTAGGGGAATTATGGATAAATCCTCTTCCTAATGAGGTGATTCCTAAAAATGAGCTCATTCCTACAGTGCAGAATTGTCATCTCAGATTTGAAGGCTGACTCTTGGATTATACTAAATTGAAGTATAATAAATTGAAGGACAATAAATATCAGTAACAGACAGACACACTGAAAATACTTGTAGCCTTCAAAGTGAATTTCTGTAGCTGCAATTCTTAAAATACTAACTCAAACCCCAGGCCCCTTCTTTCATCCAGACTCCTCAAATAGAACTGCACGATATGCTGAAGTTCTTCAGGTTTTGTTTTAAAATTTGACTAGTTTTTTCTTGAAAAATGATTTATCATGAGGGTAAGGCTGGAAACCTACTTTAGTCTCAAATTAGTTGTGCTGGTATTGAAGTAGATCCATGAGCAAGACTGGAAAGGAAGGAAGTATAACTGCAGGATGGTAGGTGGGGAGGGTCCGTGGGCAGGCAGAGCTGTGCTAGCAGGAGTAGGGAGAACCAGCTGGGAATCCTGGGAGCGTTCAGGGCGTCAGCAGATCTGGGGCTGCAGCTCTGAACACAGGTAAATGTTCTCTGCCATCTCTACATCAAAGCAGGCATTTTGTTAGCAGACAAGGTATGACAGTTTGATTATTTAAAGCTCTTGGAAGAGCAGAGATCTGTGTCACTGGGTTTTTTTTTCTGTTGCAGGTGAGTTGGCACTCGCTTTTCTTGGAGTTACTCTGGAAGAAATCAGACCCGATAGTTTTCTCATAAGAAAATAACCTCAAGCATCCAACTCTGTTTCCAAATGCAAGCAAATCATCCCTTCCTCCCCATTTTCTCTATATTTTGCTGATGTGTTTTAGTTTTACAAGGGAGAGATAAAAAGGTTTCACAGTTCATTGCAAATCTACTGATTGTCCTTCCTACTGTTTGCTCTCACAGCTCGTGCCCCTGTGGCTGTATCTCTGTTTTTTCCTGGTTATACTAGAGTAAGGAAGTTAGAGTGCAGAATTGATTCCTGGAATATCACTTCACAAAGGGAGAGTGACTTCAGCATCTGACCAGAGAGAATATTCACCTGTGCCCTGTGACAGGTGCACTCAGGCTGTGATAGCAAGAGGTGGGTGCATCAGAGTTGAACTAGGTGGAAGGTGTTTTGGCAGGTATCAATTTGTATCCCTGCAAGACAGAAACCTTGGAAAAAATCCATTAAACTACTACTGTTTCGAAAATCTTGGGAAGGGAGCATTTTGCTCTGTGTAATGTGAACATAGTCAGCAGTGCTATTGAGGGTATGGCAGGCAGGAACATGAGTGAGGAAATTCTAGGAAGAAATTAAGATTGCTTTCTCCAATAGGTATCCAGCAGGACCAGGGCAGTGCCCATCCCCTGTGCTGGGCACTGCTGAGGCACCTCCAGTCCTGGGGACGGTTCTGGGGACCCCTCAGACAAGAAAAACATTTGAGAGTTGGAGCGTGTCCAGGGAACAGAGCTGAGGAAAGGTCTGGAGCACCAGGAGCAGCTGGGGAGGCTCAGCCTTGAGGAAAGGAGGCTCAGGAGGAACCTTCTCGCTCTCTACAACCCCCCTGACAGGAGGGTGGAGCTGGGGGGGGTTGGGCTCTGCTCCCAGGGAACAAGGGACAGGAGGAGAGGAAATGGCCTCGAATTGTGCCAGGGGAGGTTTAGATTGGATATTAGGAAAAAATTCTTTATGGAAGGGGTTATCAGGCATTGGAAGGGGCTGCCCAGGGAGGTGGTGGAGTCCCCATCCCTGAAGTGTTCAAGAAACGTGTGGATGTGGCACTTGAGGACGTGGTTTAGTGGTGAATTCAGTGGTGGTGCTGCGGTGATCGTTGGACTTGTGATCTTAGAGGCCTTTTCTAACCTTGATGATTTTCTGATTCTGTAAATCATAGGTGTCCTAGGTGAAGTAAAAATAGTAGTACCCAATCTAACTCTGGAAAATACTTTTGGCCTGCACGTGACCTGCTAGGCAGCTGTTCCGGGTTGTGTGAAGACTGGTTGGCTGTGGTGGTGGTGAAGGGGCCTCAGAAAGAGTGATGAGAACTTAACTGCAGAGCCAAGCACTTGGATTAGTTCTGGTGATGGGTAGCAGCACATAAATAATTCTGTGCTTGGCGTAGCACCCATTCACCAGTGCAGCAAGGAACAAGTGCTGCTATGAGCTGGAGTTCTTCTGGGGCTGTTGTGTAGGTGGGTTTCCAGTGCTCCCAGATGCTTTTCCTGGTGTCTGTTTTGTCTGTGGTTAATGGAATGCCAAGGGATGTGCATTTGGGAAGTAGCAGGACACAAGGCATCACTCCCTTACCATTGTTCCACACATAAGCCTGCTGCTAGAATGACAACATCCTTTTAAAAATGGTTTAGAGGACACCACCACTACCACCACCGCTTTTAGGCTGTGGTGATTTGAAATAAGGATTGTTGCCCTTATGGATAGAAAATTTAACTTACTTGCAATCAGAAAGCTATTCTTGGCTGTCTTTGTTCTTCTCAGAGAGCAGCATAATTTAGGATGCAATCCTGGTTAGATTCACTCAGTCAGTGCTTCCCTTGCCACTTCAGCTCAGCCAAAGCCCAGCCCATCGTGCTTTCGAGTCTGGACTTGGTACAACTGTTAACATGCAACTGACCAAACCCACGAACCACAACTGGGAAGACCATAAGTCAAGGAACTTCATGGTTTCAGGTTTGGTGTTGAGGATTAACCTCATTTGTGAAAAAGTGATCTATTCTGAAGTTAGTTTTGGTTTCTTTCAAATCATTGCTTCTCACATAATCTTTACAGTAAAAGTTCTCAGAGAAGTAGGTGTCATAGTGGTTGGTGGTTAGAATTATGTATAAAGTTAGCAGAACCTTTAAAAGACTTTTAATCTATCTAAGGTGAATATTTCTGCTGCACGTTTTCAGACAGTTTTGGTTGCACAGCCTTGGTGGTGACAGGCATTATTGAATTCCAGGAGCACCATTAGCCCCAGGCCTCTGTTGTAGCTGGACAGGGTGGGACTGTATTGAATCTGCGCATAGCAAAATCACAGCAAAACTCTTGCATCTGAAGAGGCTCTTTTGCCTCCAGTTAGAATGAGTGTCTGCAAGGAATAAGGACATGGAGTTGTCAAAAGTCTTTTTTTACTGTGAAACTCAAGACTCTAGTCCATAGCTGAAGCACTCAGGTTTTGGAAGGCTGCTGGGGAGCACAGCTTGCTTTGGCTCTCCTCAGACTTCTGGTCCATTTGAGTGTGTTGTTTCACTTCCAGTAAGTGTTTCCATGTGATTTGTGCTAGATGGAAATTCCTGGCATTTCTCAGGATGTTCATTTCTCCCTGGTCAAGTTCCATGTTCATCAGCTGAGCAAAAGCAAATCATCCTGTTTGCTTCCCAGGGGCAGCTTGTGCTTCTGTATTCTTTGGATTTGTAGAAAATCCAGCTCCAGATGGTGGATTGACATAATTGAAACTGTCCTTAGAAACCTACTAAGATAGAAATCAATAGACCAGGGCTTAACTGTGACAAAAAACATTCTGTCCCAATGTGAAAACAGGAGGAAATTTGGTGTATAAAGTTTTCAAGTAGCAAGAATAGGAGCAGGCTGTGAGAAGAGATTTTTCTGATCAGAGTTTGTAGTTAATTGTGCCAATTTTGGTGGTGGGCCACTTCAAGTCTAGCATTCTCCTGAGCTGTAAAAACGTTGGTGTGAGAAAGGGAAAATCTTATGACATTGTTGCCCTATACAGAGGCCTGGGGTTTGGGTGGGTGAATGAAACATACTGAAAGAATGATGCAAGAAATCCCTGGGCCTGGTCTGAGAGCAGATTTGTGGTGCCATAACAGGAGCAGTGAGCGAGGGGCTGTGTGGCCCTTCCCTGCAGGTCCCTGCCCAGCACCATCCCTGTGCCTGTGCAGACGGGGGGGCAGGGGGAGGGTGCAGGGATAAGCGTCAGAATCCTCCAGAGCCTTGGCACTCTGAACTCCATCTGGTTTTGCTGTGTGTGGGAAGGGAGGTGCCCTCAGGGAAGCAGTCAGAAGAGGTGTGGGAGGTCGGTCAGGCGATGGTGGGGTGTTGTGACAGGTCTTGCACTCTCAGAGGGTCCTGCCAGGAACCCTCTGGTTCCTCAGTGCTGCAGACCTGCCCTCAGCTGTGCACTTGGCTCAGGGGCCAACCATGAGGCACAGAGTGCACTGCTGGCTGACAATGGACTGAGTGTCAGCTGGGAAGGGATCCTTACAGTGGCAGTGGTGAGACATTGGCACAGATTGCCCAGGGAAGGTGTGGAGGCCCCGTCATTCAAAGTTAGCTTGGACAGGGCTTTGATCAACCTGAAGTGGAAGGTGTC